CACATCAGCGCACACACACACACACACACACACACACACACACACACACACACACACACACACACACGCGCGCGAGCGCGCACCCGCACGCGTGCGCGTGCGCGCACGCGCACGTCACACGCAAGCGAGCGGCCTGTAGCTGTTTCACACGTCACCCTCCCCCTGAGACACCCAACATTTACTGGCAAACGCGCCTCCACCACCCCGCTCCTCTCTTCACAAGAAGACGGCCAATCATTCGTAGGAGGAACAGCAAGCGTTTGTCGGCATTAAGAAAAATAATCTCACCGGAGATACAGCCTCTTGAGAAGGCCCATCTTAGCCCACTCCTTGGGCAGTGGCCCTGTCAAGCCGTTGCCGCCCAGGTCCAGGTCCTCCATTCGCGGCCAGGCGGCGCCAAAGTCGGGGCTCAGCGTGCCGGTAAGCTGGTTCGAGCTAGGCGCCGGGGGGAGGGGGCCGACGATGCAGGGCAAGAGCTGGCGGGTCGAGTTTGGCAATTTTGGTGAAGAATGGCTTTCAGTGCAGCTGGGCTCCACAATCGGTTATGATTGCAGTCACGACCTGCCATCCAAAGCCCCCCTCTATGCAGACGCACGGCCTGTAGCTGTTTCGCGCGTCGCTATGCCCCCTACAACACCTAAACTTCACTGGCAACTGCGGCTCTACCACCCCGCCCCTTTGTTCACGAAAAGGCGACTAATATGTATCAGAGGAACGGCAAACGTTTGTCAGCTTGAAGAGAAAAGTCCTCACTGGGGATGCAGCTTCCTGAGCTTGGTCATCCTAGCCCACTCCCTGGGCAGTGGCCCCGTGAAGCTATTGCGGCCCAGGGCGAGGTCCTCCATTCCCGGCCAGGCGGCACCAAAGACGGGGCTCAGCGTGCCGGTGAGCTTGTTGGTACTGGGCGATGGGGGCGGGGGCCGACGATGCGGGGTAAGGGCTGGGGGTTCGAGTTTGGCAGTTTGAAGGATGGCTTTCCGTGAAGCTGGCCTCTACACTTGGTCGAGCGACCTAATTGCAGTCGCTACCTGCCCTCCAAAGCCGCTCACTCCGCAGACGAGCGATCTACAGCGGTTTCACACGTCACCCCCCTCCCACACGTCACCGTCCTCCCTGAAATACCCGAACGAAAAGACGGCCAATCGTATTTTGGGAAGAACAGCCAATGGCTGTTGGCATTATGAAAAATAGTCTCACTGGAGATACAGCCTCTTGAGCCTGGTCATCTTAACCCACTCCGTGGGCAGTGGCCCCGTGAAGCCGTTGATGCCCAGGTCCAGGTCCTCCATCGACGGCCAGGCGGTGCTCCAGTCGGGGCTCAGCGTGCCGGTGAGCTTGTTGGTACTGGGCGCCGGGGGAAGGGGGCCGACGGTGCAGGGCAAGGGCTGTGAATTTAATCTTGGCAGGGCTACGAAGGATGACTTTCAATGCAGCTGGCCTTTACACTTGGACACCCATGATGGAACTACATGCCTTAGCACGTCACACGCAAGCGGGCGGCCTGTAGCTGTTTCACACGTCATCCTCCCCCTGAGACACCTGACATCTACTGGCAACCCGCGCCTCTGCCACCCCAACCCCTCTCTTCACAAGAAGGCCGCCAATTATATGTAAGAGGAACAATTGCCGGCATGAAGAGAAAAGTCCTCACTAGAGGTGCAGCCTCTTGAGCCTGCCCATCCCGGTCCACTCCTTGGGCAGCTGCCCCGTGAAGCCGTTGGTGTCCAGGTCCAGCTCCTCCATCGCTCGCCAAGCCGCGCCAAAACTGGGGCTCAGCGTGCCGGTGAGCTTGTTGGAGCTGATGCGGGAGCGGGGGCAGACAGATGCAGGTGGGGCGGGTTTGGACGGGACAGCAGTGGTCAGGCCTGTGAGAGGTGATTGCCCACCACACATGCTCTTTGGGGCTCAGCAGCACTGTATGACCAAGCACACCTCCCCCCATGAGAAAGCCCATTACGTTTGCGTGCGCGGCATCACTGGTTGACACCAGAAGCAACCACTCCATCCCCACGGGCAGCTGTCGGCCAAGCCCTTTGCGCCCACCCAACGCAAGAAGCGTCTGACACTGAAACCTGAGCTCACCGTAGGTCGAGGACCTTGAGCCGCGCCAGCCCCGCCCAGCTGCGGGGGAGTGGGCCCGTGATGCCGGGGTTGACGACGATTTTGATGATTTCCAGCTGGGCCAGGGTGCCCCAGTCTGAGGGCAGGGTCCCGATGATGCCGTTGGTGTGCAGGTCAATCGTTCTCAGCGCTGTGAGACCTTCAAGCACACTTGCAGGGGGCAGCCTCCCCCCAAGTTTGGCCTGGAACAGCGAAATTTTGAACACGTTGCCCTGTGTGTTGCATGTGACGCCGTGGAAATCGCAGTAACCCGCGTTTGCGCCCGTCTCAGCCGACCACGCCAGCGTCCCTTGCTTGTCGACTGCAGCCTTGAACCCCAGCAGCGAACGCAGCTGCGCTGCGCGAGACTCCGAGGGCGTCGCCTTTGCCGGCGCCCGTGCGACGGCTGGGGCCGGGGCAGGGGCAGGTGCAGGGCCAGGGGTTGGCGCCACTGCCTGTGCCGGCGGCGACACCCCCAGGGGGCACACTGCGAGCCTCTTGCCCGCCAGGGGTTTGTCAAGGTCTTTCACAGCATCCAGGTTGTCCAGCAGCAGCTTCTCAAGCGGCACACCCACGCGGTCGGCCACGCCCGAGAGGTAGTCGCCAGGCAGCGCCTACAGCAGAGGTGGGTCGAGTCGGGTTGCATTGTGCGGCATGAACGCGCGCGAATACGGATCAATAGAGCCATGGGGCTGTGGACTTCCACTCCGCTGGCAGCCAACCACTCACCAAATAGTAGGTGCAGCCCTTTGGAAGGTTGGGCGCAGCCGCCAGCTCAGGACGAGGCCGCCTGGGCGCTCCAGGGGAGGGTCTGAACACGACCCCATACGTGTCCGCTGGACTCAGGACGCTTGCCACTCCAAACGCAACCTGTTCCAGGATCCCAGGCAGATAGGCGTGTGAGGTGCGCCACTCTTTTTTGCTCGCGTGAGCCATGCCGTTCGGCGTTTGGTGCATAAATATGCGCGACCTGTGGCCGGGGGCAGGGGGGCAGCAAGCCCGACCTCGCCAACAGTCAGACCAAAAATGGAGTCTTGCGCGGCCAGGCATGCGACAGCATTGTCCTGCCTCGTCAGCAGCTGAACGGCCGCATCTGACAGGACAATCTCAACGCATGCGCATGTCAAGCCCCGAGCCTGCGTGGCTGCGCTGGGGTCGGGAACGTTGAGCGCTGTGGTGCCGAGAAGCAGGTGTAATGTGGTTGGGCCGTGTGCAACGGTGGTGATGGCAGCGGCAGCTCTCTGGAGCCCGCTGGCAGGGCCGGGCTCACGCCCACCTTGAAGTTGCCGTCTTGAGCAAAGCCTATGATGGAAGGAAGAAATTGCATGGACGGGCCTGTAGCCATGCATGCTCATCGACAAGCAACAGGACTTGTGTCAACATTCTGCATCAATCACTGTCCCCCGGCTGGCTGTTCAGCATCCTGCGCATTCTCACCTGGGCCCCACGAGTTGCGCGCTATCCAGAACTTATCAACGTTGTCATACCTGGTGGGGATGGTTGGGATTCGCAATTGACTCTGACCCCAAAGCCCCACCTGCTCAGACCAGTCTGGTCACCAGGTGCGCCCAGAGTGCGAAAGGGAAGTCATCAAACAGCTCCGAAAAAGGAATGCTGAACAAGGACCCCCGTGTGCATCATCAATCAAGCAGCCAGCGCACCCGACCAGCAGGATGGCGTGGCCCTCAACAACTTGACTACCCGACGACGGCCTGTAGACTGCCCCACTGTTTTTGTAGTCCGCAAAAAACGGCTTGAAGTCGCTGTATTGGGCCACCATGGGTAGATGCGCGACACAAGACAGGGGTAAGGGCCGCAATACGCTGCAGCAAGCACATACACATGCCATAGCAGCACAGACGTGCACATGCACCCTTGCCTCCACAAGCAGACCTCAGGAAGGAGCGAACCACCTGTAAATATCAAAACGCGTTGCCTGGAGAGCGCATGGCAAGGAGCAATGCGAAAGTGAGCATATGGTGAGGTCTGGCACTGCGTGTGTTCGTGCCTGTGTGGCGGTCCCCCCTGTTTGAGGTGTGCGTGTGTGCGTGCTCCAGAGCACACTGTGGAGCAATCACAATCGCAAAGGCGTGTGTGTGTTTGTGTGTGTGTGTGTGTGGGGTGTGTGTGTGTGTGTGTGGGCGTGCGTGCGTGCGTGTGCGTGCATGTGTGCGTGCATGTGGACGTGCATGTGTGCGTGGGTGCGTGTGTGCGTGTAGGTGGGTGGGTGTGGGTGTGTTCGCCCTTGCGTGCGCTCCCGTGTGCATATGTGGGCGTGCGTGGATGCATGCGTGCGTGCGTGCATAAGAGAGAGAGTGTGTGTGTGTGTGCGCGTAGGTGTATTATGCACACGTCCGCACGTGCATGTGTGTGTGTGTGTGTGTGTGTGTGTGTGTGCGCGCGCGCACAATCACTGCTGTACTTTGCAAACAAAGCCAGACAACACGAGAGGCAACGAAATCTTAGCCCCCTGCGTCGCCGCCACACACACCACAAAAACACGCACCCACACACGTGCGTGCGAGCGCACACGTGCAGGTAAACACACATTCACAGCTGCACCGTCACGCCTGCTCACCACGGCCCCAAATCGTCTGATGTGCTGCTGCGCCTCCCACACTTGCGTGATGGGTACGTAGCTGAACGACCCCTTTGACGCTAGGGGGCTGGTGTCCTGGCAGACTTTGGCGCAGAGCTGCTCCTGCAGCGCAGCGTCCCTGAGGCTGGGCTGCTGGTAGGGCAGGCAGTCCTCCAGCAGCAGCTGCCGCTTCTCTAGCTGCGCAAGGGTAGCCCTCAGGGCCGCTCCTTTGAGGCAGGAGGTGCGCTCGTCCCCGCAGTAGTAAAGGTCCTGCACTGACAGCTCGCCGACGTTTTCAACTGGCTGGCCCAGGACGCTGGCGGTCGCCGCCTGCACGAGGCAGGCTCAGGGGGCGGTGTGAGCAGACAATAAAGGGGAGTGGAAGGGCCTGATGCTTGCGTGCAAACCAAAGCTGGCAAAGCAACGCGCTCGGCACGGAAAGTCCGTAGACGTGAGTTACACACCCGTTGCGCGCACAACTGGCAGTTGCGGCAGCCGGCACTGACGCAACTACGTGTGGCTGCTGAGCTGCTACAGCGCGAGTGCATGACACCTCGCACCTCAGCAGCCACGGCGGCAACGAAGGCTGTGCAGGTGGAGCACTTGCCCTGGGCTCTTGGTGGAGGGATGATGCGGGAGGAGCCGATGTCGCGCGGATCCAGGGCGCTGTAGGCGGCGGGCGATGTCGCAAACATCAGTGTGGCCAGCTTCTCATTGTCTGCGGGAGTGATGAGGTGCTGAGACGTCAAAGGCGTGGCAGCTGTGAACAATCGAGCATTTCAAAGCTGACTCGATGGCAAGTACCCCACCCTGCACTGCCCCACCCTGCCAACCTCACAGAAAACCCTGGCATGCTTTCAAGGACAAATCAACCATTTTATGGGCCAGAGCGCATTCCAGTGTTCGGGTCTGGGCAGCGCAGCGAACCTGACGAGACTGAAGAGGAACAGACAGAGTCCTGTGATGTGCCCACGCACACCACGTTTGGGGTCGCCTTCAGGGCCTGCTGCCAGGCTTTGGCCCCGCTCAGCTGCCTGGCAGCGGAGGCGTACGCATTGGCCAGGACGCGCTTGGGCGTGTTGCCTGACCCGAGCGGCTCATCACTTGGCAGCAGGCCCTGGCCTGTCAGTCACCAGCGCATTGATGCGATCGCGGGGGTCAGGCCGGGAAGGGTTCAAGATCACTGGGCAGCCAGTGTGCCCGCAACAGCAGCCATTTGGGAACGCTCAAACCTGGAACCAGAGTTGACAGACTGAACACAGTGCAAGTACTTACCGTATGCACATGGCAGGCTGCGTTAGTGACCACCCACCCTAAGGCTGTCGTCGTCCCCAGCGGTCGCCGCATGTGCGGGCCATGCGTGCAACTGGGCAGCGCACCTGAGGCGGTCGACATCAGCAAGGCCAGCAAGAGGCATTGGAAGGCAATGCATTTCCACGGCGTTTGAAATCCGCGCGGATACCGCGCAGTCTGAGAGCGTCCTGGCACCAGGGGGGTGGCCATCGAGCACACTAGCAGCGACCCGCGTGGCTGCGAGCCTGCGGCACCTGACACCGTCTTCCGGTGAATGATGAAGAAAAAAACGGATGCAGCAGTCTTCCTGCAGCGTTGTGAGAGGAATCAGGCAGGTCTGGGGCTCCAGGACAGGCTGGTGGGAACGTGGCTTGCAAATCGATGACGAGCGCGAGTTATGTGATGGCATGAAACAAGGTGTGCGGCCAACTGAGGCCCGCTCTGAGTCACGCATGGCCGCCGCCCGCCCAACCTCAGCGTACCGGTACCGCACAGTGTGAGTGAGATGCCGTGCAGGAGCGAGCCAATCGGCACACCACGCCGCCAAGAGCTTGGGCCATTATCGCAACACCATGTGAGCGATCAGATGCCGCTGCTCTCCGCAGTGCCAGGTGGGAGCCGGGCAATTCCAGGCGGGGTGGCATCTGGAGAAGCCGCAGCTGCGGCGGTGCGTTGCACCGGCGATATGAGATGCTGTGCTTTCACGCCAATGGAAGCGGGCCGCACGCCGACTGACAGCGCCTGGTGCTTATTGCATCCCCAAGTTGGGCCGCCGCGCAGGCTGGCCATGCCTGTGGCTGGTGTTTTTGGGGTTTCCGCTTTCACCCTTGGTTTCAGTGGTGCGTGCTTGCCAAGTCGTGGCTCCCGTGATGAGTGAATGCCCACGGGCCAGGCGGGCCCTTTGGCGCCTCTGTGGCACCCCGCCCCTTGTCGCTGCTGCTGACCCATAACACGTGGCTGCAGCTGGTGATGACACCAAACTATTGCATGAGCATGACACAGCCAAGTCTTCAGAGGCTTGCGGCCTGATGCCGCGTGCGCCTGGCTGTGCCTTCCAGCGCGCGCCTCCCCGCCTTTTCCCTGCAGGGCTGGCACGAGTACAGGCCACAAAATCCTATGCAGTTGCACCCTGCACCCAGACAAGAGCCCAGCATTGCAGCTGGCAACATTGCTGAGTTTTACCGCGCACTCGTGCAACCACTGGTGTGGGCGCCTGACTGCAGCAACTGCACCAAATCTGCAGTCCAAGCAGCCGGCTGCCGTGTGACTCTGCGCAGTATTCAACATCAGCGAGTGCACCTGGGGGTGGCCTGGGAAAAGACCTGTAACAGCCAAAACACCAGCATCCAAACGAACAGTGCCATAACCGCGCCATGCACACCCCACAGGCGCCGCAATAAGCAGCTCTTGCAGCAATGTTGCCAACTCTTCCATACAGTACCCACATGAAAACATAGAGGGCAAAGAGTCCGTCCAGTCATTCGCACTCAAAAGACACACGAACAACTGTTCTTCCAACACTACATCCATACCTGCAGCAGGCGGGTGCTGCACCTCAATTGCTTGCCCTACTCCGCAGGACCCAAGTCATCCAACAGCACGTCGATGACGTCATCATCGGGCCCCAGCCGCTGCGCCGCCCCCCACGCCCCGCCCGCACCGCCGGCGCCGGCGCCCTCATACCCAGATCGCCCGGGGATCTGCAGCCACGTGCCGTCCTCCTCGTCCTCGCCGCCATCGCCGCCGCCCTCGACCTGCAAGCGCCCGCCGCCGACCGCCTCCTCCTCGCCGCCAATCCACCCCAGCCTCCACCCCGGCTCCCCGCCCGCGCATCGCACCAGCTGCAGCCCCTTGCCCTGCAGAGCGCCGTTGAGGTACTCCACCGCGGGCTCACCCCAGGCGGCCGCCTCCACCTCCTGCAGCTCCCGCAGCTTCCGCGCAGCTTCCTCCTCCGGGCCCGAGGCGGCGGCGACGAGCTCGGACCGCGCCTTGGCGACAGCCGCCAGCCCCACCCACGCCTCCAGCGCCCTGGACAACCCTTTGAAGGCCGCCCTTGTGTGGTCCCGCTGCGCCCCCGCCTCAATATCCCCCTGCTGCTGCTGCCGCCGCCGCTGCTGCTGTTGCTGCGTTGCCCAAGGGGACTGCTTGCGCGCCCGCTTGCCCTTCGGCGCCTTGGCCGCCCCTGCAGCCCCGCGAGCAGCGGCCGCCTCGGCCTCAAGCCCCGGCTTCAAACCTTCCAGGGCCATCCCCAGCGCGGCGCGCACGTCCCTGCAGGTGCCGGGGTCCGGCGCCAGGCGCAGCGCCTGCAGCGCCGCCCCCAGGTCCCGCAGCTCCGCCGCCCACAGCAGGGCGCCCGCGCTGACAGCCGCGTTAAACGCCGCCGGCGTCGTGGGCGCGGCCGCCCGCGCGCCGCGCAGCGCGGCGGCGAACAGGCCCTGCACCGCTGCCGTGCGCTGCTCCTCCTGCTCCTCCTGCTGCTGCTGCTCCTGCTGCTGCTCATGATGACTGCACTCCATGAGCGCGAGCCCCAGCGCCAAGCGCGACGCCGGGGTGAGGCCCATCGGCGCGGCGGCCGGGCCCTGTGCGGCGACGCGAGCGGCGGCGCGCTCGAGCCAGGGCGTGCCGGGGTCGCAGCCCAACAGGCTGAGGGCCTCAATGATGGCGGCCAACATTGAGGGCTTCGCATTGGATGAAAACAGCATAGTCGAGGCGTGAGGGAAGGGCAGCAAAGGGAGGGAGGACCGATGTTAGAATTGGTGGCCAAGCATCCGGTGCGGCTAAAGTGCTTCGGGGTGGCTCGCTTGCCGGCAAGCGCGCGCTGTGCGTGTGTGTGCGTGTGTGTGCGTGTGTGTGCGTGTGTGTGCGTGTGTGTGCGTGTGTGTGCGTGTGTGTGCGTGTGCTGCCGTTGCAGGACGTCGAGGGGGCGCCGGCTGCTGGACGCGCCTGAGAGCGCTGACAGCGTGCGGCTATCCACTATAGGGGCAGCCAGCCCGCATGGCTCGTCACGCATGCGCGCCTGCACGAGCAGCTGTGCGGCTCATGATGCATGCACACGCACGGCCTCCGCCGCGCCCGCCCACCTCCAGCCGCGCCATGGCGTCAAAGGTGGCGTCAAGGTAGGCCGCCAGCCAGTCATCGTGCAGCACCGCGTTCCCGGCGGAGCACAGCACCGGCAGCGCCTTGGCCACCCTCACCAGGGTGGTGGGGTGGGACGACGCAGCGCTGGTTGGGGGGGGGGGATGTGCCGGCCGTGTGGGGCATGTGGGGCGTGTGGGGCGTGTGGGGCGTGTGGGGCGTGTGGGGCGTGTGGGGTGTGCGGCGTTGGTTGTGGACAGGCGGCCGACCCGTTGAGGACGCCACGCGGCGCGGTCGCGGGGTTTTCAGCCGGCTTGGACGTTGCCATCGGTCGGCGTCGCTTGACCGGCTGACAATTGCGGGTGCCGACCCTAGGGGGGGGGGCAGGGCAGACGCTGCAAAGCCCACCACTTCCTGCCTACGACCCCCTTTTCCCCCACGCCTCACCCGGAGTCCATCCACTCCTTGGTGCGCCAGAGCACACTGCCAACGCAGCCCCGCAGCGCCTCGTCCTCCTCCTCGCTCTGGCCCCACTGCGCCTCCGCCATGAGCATCAGCGCCACGCCCAGCCCCGCGTCCGCAACCGTCCACGCGCCCGCCGCGTCTGCAGCGCCGCACCACTCGACCAGCCACGCGGGCGACGGGTTGAGCCCCAGCAGCGCCGCGCCGTGCAGCGCGCTCCACAGGCCCGCTGTGTTGAGGCTGCCCATGCCAGGGCGCAGCCCCTCGAGAGCCAGGCTGCCCCACGCCCGCGCCCCCACCTCGTCCTCGTCGCCCGCCGCCTCGTCAGACAGAACGCCCGCAAAGCATAGCGCGCCGGCCAGGACCGCGGGCGGCGCGACGTCCAGGACATCGCCCGGCTCGCCAGCCGCGGCGGCGCCGCCGCTGTCACTGTCGGGTGTGATGGTGGAGGCGATGACTTCCCCCAGAGAGATCGGCGGGATGCAGGACAAGAGGCCCTTTGGGGGCGGGGGGCGGCACGGGGTGACAGGTGCGCTGAGTGAGGGGTGGAGGTGGGCAGGGGCCACACCTCTGGAGAGTGGGTCCCCTGCGACCACAAATGCGGTGGTGGGGGCGGCTGCATAGCACACTGGCGGTCACAGCATCAACAAGAAGAAGCCTTCCTCGACCCACTGCTGCCACTCACCACGAGCAGGCCTTGATCCATCTGGCAGCCGCTCGGCAGCTGCCCACCCCCAGCCTCCTCCTCCTCCTCCGTCGCCGCGCCCCCGCCGTCGCCGCCGCCGCCGACGCCCAATCGCAGCGGCCGCGGCATCAGCAGAGCGATATTGGCGGGGTCCGCGCAGAATGCAAAGTACTGCAGGAGCCCGAACGCCTCCAACGGCCCGATGAAGCCGTCCCTTGGACCCTGGGGGCGCGATCCGGCGGAAGGGCCGCCACCCCCGGCACCCTTGGAGGCGCCCGCCCCGCTCTTCAGCAGCTGCAGCAGCGCCGACTGGGCGGCCGCGAGGAAGGCGTCCGGCGCCACGTAGTGCGCGCTGGGG